TATATATATATATATATATATATATATATATATATATATATATATATATATATATATATATATATATATATATATATATATATATATAAACATGCAAATCTGATATAAATTATTTTTATGCAAAATGTCAGTGGCATAAAAATATGCTTTTTTATTATACAAATAATAAACAGTTGAAGTAAAAATTATTGGCCCTTGTTTATTTTTCCCCTAATTTATTTTTAACAGAGAGCAGATGTTTTCAGCACATTTCTAATCATAATAGCTTTAATAACTCATCTCTAATAACTGATTTATTTTCTCTTTGTCATGATGACAGTAAATAAGTGACATTTAAAGACTTAACTAGGTTAATTAGGGTAACTAGGCAGGTTAGGGTAATTAGGCAAGTTATTGTATAATGATGGTTTGTTCTGGAGACTATCAGAAAAAAAAAATTAGCTTAGGGGTGCTAATAATATTGACCTTAAAATGTTTTTTTCTTTATTTGGAAACTGCTTTTATTCTAGCCGAATTAAAACAAATCAGACTTTCTCCAGAAGAAAAAATATTATCAGACATACTGTGAAAATGTCCTTACTCTTTTAAACATCATTTGGGAAATATTTTAAAAAGACTGTATGTTTGTGTTTGTGTGCGTATATCTTTTTTTTCCTCACTTTAAATTGATTAAAATGAGTTAAATTGCTAATAAAAGGCTTTTTATTTAAAAGTAGTGTAACATTTTTTTTTGAATTTTGAGAAATCTTCATTTAGCAATTTTTTTTTTTTTAAATGTAATTATTGATTGCGTTTTAAAAGAGAAATTAAAATGCCAAAGGGCCAAGCTTTTAGGTATATTTATGAAATGCTTACTGTTTGTATAGGGGCAAGAAGGTTTAAAAGTAAACACTGCAGACATATATTATATTATATTATATTATATTATATTATATTATATTATATTATATTATATTATATTATATTATATTATATTATATTATAGTATATTATATTATATTATATTATATTATATTATATTATATTATATTATATTATAGTATATTATATTATATTATATTATATTATATTATATTATATT